GCCCCGACTCCCTCCCCTTTTCCTCCCCGCCGCCCCCACCTCCGAGCGGGCGGCCCCGGGCGCACGTGACTCCCCTGCCAGGCCTTATAAGGCACGGAACCGAAAGCGGTGGCCGGGTGGTCAAGGGCACCGGGTGGCCGTACGTCCCGGAGGTCGCCTCCAGCCCCTCTCCCGTCTGGCCCGGCAGCCTGCGCCCGCCCCTGTACAGAGCTGGCTGCGGACGCCTCCCGCCTCTGAGTGCTGAGGCTTGGACTGGAGTGTGAGAGTAACCGGCTTCGCACCCCTAAACTGCTTTTCTGCCAGCCAAGTCGGGCATGGTTTCTTTGTGCCGTTAAGACTGCAGATGGGTTACCATCTGCAAAGAGAGGTTGAGCTTGAGGGAATGCTGCTTTTATTCATTTTTAATGACTAACGGTTTCGTGGAAAGAAAACTGGTTTAGGAGCCAAGCTGTCGTCCAGTTTTAGCACAGCGTTCAAACTGGGGGCAGAGACTGACTCCACGACAACTCAGTGTCAAGCCACCACCTCCCAGCCTTTGGGAAAAAAAAATATAGTAAAAGCGTTTCGGATCACTGTGGCATCCTTGAAGACCGTTTCCATCTAATTCTGACTTAACAGTGACTGACTACACTGGTTCTCTCCTGTCTTAGACTTACAGAACTCTATCAACATGTTTTCCTGACCCTTTATCATGCCAATTGTACTCATACCTTGTTTTTAAATTTAGTTTATTAGTAGTGCGCGTTTACATCCCTAGTGAGAGATTGATGCATGTGCAGAACACATCCTATTCCTTTGTTCATCCTCTTTCCATCCCTTCCACCTTCCCATCTCTTGATAGCCTTTCTTTTCCTCTTTTTATTTTGTTTCCTTTATTTTGTACATCTTTGCAGTAATAATGTTTACTTTCTGTGTGGAGTTGGTACCTGTACATAACACCACGTTTTTTGTAAACCAAAGCATCAAAAATACTTAATCCAGCCTGGCCCAAGGTCCTTTCTTCACAACTCTGCAAACCCATTTCTGAGTCTACCATTCCACCAAGACAATAATGACCAAGGTCACCTGGGGGCTGTCAGATTTCCCTAAGCCATTAGTTTACCAGTTCTCTTCTTACTTGACCTGCCTGTATGTGCCACTGTTGACTAGATTTTTACTTTTAAATCTGTTCTTTCTTTTGGCTGCTCCACACTGGAGTTTCCACTTTTCCTGATCTCTTCTTCAGTCCCTTGTTATATGCTGGGGTCTGACCCTGGTCCATTTCTAACTTGGGGTGTGAAGGGCTAAGGGGCCTATCAGACCTTCTCCTTCTTGACTCCAACTACCAGCCATCAACATAAATCCTGATAATCCATAAATTTCTGTCCCCTACTTGGCTCTCCAGTGTTCGCCAGAAATCTCCACCTAGTCGGTCCCTAGTCCTTAAAATCATCTTGATTAAAACAGAAGATACCTTCTCTGACAGCTGTCTTTTCTCTGTAGTTTTATTCTCAGTTAATGTCACTACAGTGCCCTTAGTCATGCAAAGAGCAAACCTGAAAATTATTCCCACCTCTCTTTTCCCGCCCCTAGGCTCCTCTCTCCAAGGTTCTTGTTCCTTTCTCTTTTCTCTCCATTTCACTGCTTTTGCCTGGTTTCAGACTTCTGTTGCAAACCACCTAACTTTTTCTTATTATTCTGTCTGTCTCTGAGCTGGTTGTACTTCTAGCTGTCTCTCACACTGTGACCAAATTAAGTCTTCTAAGTACAATATTCAGCAAATTATTTCCTCAGTAATGAGCCTTGCCAATGGTTTCTATTGTCTGCAACATAAATCCTGATATAGTAGTCCGTGCCACTCCTCCAGTCTCATCAAACGCGCTTGAGTTCCTTGCGTGCAGTTGCCTTTCAGGCCACTTATTTTTATGCTGTGCCCTCTCATGGAATGTCCTTCCTCTTGCCCAGCCTGTCCAAACACCTACTCATTTTTCACAATTCAACCCAAGAGTCGCCTCCTTATGAAATCATCCCTGGCCCTGTTGGTTAAAACTAGAAGGCCATTCTCTTTACACCAAGTGACTAAATAGCCTTTCTCCCCTCACCCATTGTAATGCCTTAGAAATGTTACTAAATTCAGTTTATACTTGTAATCTCCCAGACTACAAGTGTTAAAAGAAATTCACCCCTTTTCTTCCTACTTCCCAGTAGAGTGCTTGACACATAGTAGATGCAAGGTAAACATTTATTGAAAAAAACTAGTTATGTAATACACTTGAAGATAAATTTTTATGACCCTAGAAAATCAGTTTCCCATGCATTATATCATTTCATTCTAATATCTTGCAAAAAAAATGTTATCGTGGTCTTTATTGAAGCTAGAAAAGAATAAAGCAAGTTGGGTGTGGTGGGTCACTGTCAATACTTTGGGAGGCAGAGGCAGGAGAATCTCAAATTTGAGCCCATTCTGGACAAATCAGAGAATTGATGAGACCCTGACTCAAACTAAAAATTTTTAAATGTCTGGGGATTTAACTCAGGGCAAAGGTACTGGGTTCAATCCCTAGGAGACAGAGTATAGTAGGGAGGGATTTGCCTAAAGTTTTGATATATAAATCATAAATCTTGGACGATAGCCCTGTTTGCTAGTTATATTCTTTGCATGTTTGCCTATTTCTTTATGTTTCCCTCAAATCCATACATTCAAACACTTACCTTCAAGGTTATGGTTTTAGGAAGTGGGGACTTTGGAATGTAATTAAGTCATGGGGCAGAGTCCTCACGAATGGGATTAGTGCTGTATGAAGAGGTTCAAGAAAGAGCCCCTTCCTTCTTGTCATGTGATGTCAGAGAAGAGTAAGGCAGTCTATGAAGTAGCAGGCTCTCACCAGGCACTAAGTCCATCTACTTCTACTCTTGGAATTCCCAGCTTCCAGAACATAGCAGTAAGTTTTGTTGTTAAAGGACCAGCTAATTTATGATAATTTCTCACAGCAGCCAGAACAGACAACCTACCCATTGTTTTTCACCTTAAATTCTGTATCATCTGGTATAATAGCTTTCTTTATGTGATATAATAGCTTTCTTTATGTTAGTAGATGTCCAATATAACTCTTTATTTTCAGCCATTATGAGTCATTGTTCTTTATGAGTGTCTTGTAACTAAGTTAGCTCTTATATTACCAACCAATTCTGAGTCTGCCTTTTAGTAATCTTTTAAAATCTGTTGTGATTTGTCACATATATTAATCAGAGTACAATGATATTGCAAGAAAGAAATCTTTCCCCGTCCTTCCCCACAGCGTGTTTCTTTCTTTCTCATGGGCCAGTGCCAGATATGTGGTGCATGCTGTTGAGGGAGCCCCTTAGTCCTGTACTGCCATTCCATCTCGGGGGCTTTGGTATCCACGTGGCAGGGGTTGGTTAGGGAGCTCCAGCTTAAGCAAGGAAGAAGGGGAGAAGTGACACATGTCATCTGTTTGAATACCACTGCCTGGAACTTAGTTACATGACTGCAGTTAGCAGCAAAGGACCAGAAAATGAGACCACTGCCTGAGCAGCCACATCCTAACACAGCTCTATTGTTGAGGACAGAACCAATTTTGGTGAAAACTAATGTCACATTATGATTGCTATCTTTACATTTATTAATACTTTCTCATTTTGGATTTATTATTGAGCTTTGTTTTTCTCTTCTTTCTTGCCTTCTAGTTTATTGATTGAATTTCCCTCAGTTTCCCTTTTCCTATACTTCCACCAAGTTGAACTTTGTACCCTCTAATTCAATTCTTAGTGATTGCCCTTAAACTGTTAATGTTTACATTTAATATCCAAAGTTAATCACTCTTTACTTCCCTGATCAATATAATCTTAAATATACAAAAATGAATAAAACACTTCAATTCGTTTCCTTTTCAGAAACTATTATTCTCTTGCATTTTTAAATTTCATATATGTATATATATGTGTGTGTATGTATATACAGTTTTAGGTGGATCTTGTTCATTTTTTAGCTATAGAAGCTATACCTCAGCACCAACCTTTTAAAAATTCTCTATTACTGCTGAAGTTGTTACTACTTTCATAGTTATTAAATTTACCATCATATTTTACCAGTGTTTGTCCTTATTGTTTGCTTTTTATGTCACATTCTTTTTTTGGGACTGAATTTCTTACTGAGGTACATTCCTTTGAATTTCTTTCAACGTTTTCTGTGTCTTTGTGTATCATTCTCATTCTCCCTCCTCTCATACTCTAGCGTTGTAGTCTCATTGGCTATGAAACTCTAAGTTGGCC